AGAGAGAGAGAGAGAGAGAGAGAGAGAGAGAGAGAGAGAGAGATCTATAATCCTAGCACTAAGGAGGCTTGAGGCAGGAGGATCCTAGCCTGGGCTACATAGTACGACTCAGTCTCAAACAACACTTCACTAATTCAGGCTACTACCACATGTTGGTGGTGAGGGGCTGGTGCTAGGAAGGTGCTGGCTGGGATAGTGTGGACTCACCAATGGCCAGGTGTGCAGAGACAACATGGTAAGTGAGCGTCAGAGCCCACAGGTGCAGCTCATGGACTGCTCGGACTCCTGGCACTGACAGCAATGTGTCCCTTACAGGTTCAAATCCCACGCTGCGGGGGGCACCTGCAAGCAGCACCCACCACATGTTACTGCCAGGGCCCCACCAGCCCTGCCAGACTCTACTCTCCCCCCAAACCATTCCCATCCTGTCAACCCCAATCCTCTTTTCTGGCAATAGGCCCCATGACCCAGTCCTTCCCACACTGAGAGAAAAGGGGTAGTCCAGTGCTGGGGTGGGAGCCAAGAGGGCCCCAGGGGTGGTGAGCACATGTGGTGTTGAATTCACCTTCCATGAGGATGCGGAGAACATCTCGGAGGGTGGGAGCTGTGGATCCAAGGGCACAGATGGAGAAAAGGAAGGTGCTGATGGGGTCAGCTGCCTTGTACTGAGGCTGTGGAGAAAGAGGTCCCTCAGGCTAGGAAACAGGGATCTCCTAGAGGAAGATCTAGGGGCATTCTTGTAAACAGGACCTGAGGGGACTCTGGGAACCATACAGAGGAGAAAAGAGGCATGACCAGGCCCTGAAGAGCTTGGAGCTGGAGTAAAGGTCAGGGAGGCTAGGAGTGCCAGGAGGAAGGGGCTGGGATGTGGAGTGGGGAAGGAAGGCTGGTGCAGGCCTCAACAGTACCTTGAAGTAGATGAGGATGGAGGCAGCCAGGACCCCAAGGCTCTGTAGGAGGTCCCCCAGCACATGCACAAAGGCTGCCCGGACACTGGTGTTCCCCAGGGGCAGAGTTTCCCCATGCCCCTCCTCCAGCGGTGCATACTCTGACCCTCTAGACCCGTGGCTGTGGGGGGGGCCCGCCTGATGCAGCACAAAGGCCATTCTGAAGGGGAAGCAGAGCAGTTCAGCAGATGCTCCTGGCTTCTGCTCACCTTCCCAGTATCCAGCTCCACCTGTTTCCCACCCCAGGAAGAAAACAGCACTGCTGAACAGACAAATGATGCAGCCAAGAATGATTCTTGATACAAGAAGTGGGGCTAGAGATGTGGATTCAGTTCCTACCCCTGCTATTTAAATGGTCACCTGTCCCCCTGCTAGGATCTTTAACATGATGGCAACTAGAGGTAACACTAACTCAGTCTTGGAGTGTTTGGGAGGCTTAATTGAGATCATATTGATGAAAGTATCTGAGTAGGGCTGGTGTCCCTTCACAAATGTCTACTGACTGAAATATATATATATATATATATGCCCTCTCCCATTCCTTCTCAGGCACAACCAGTGAAGACAATGGATCTGTGTGTGTATGTGTGTGTGTGTGTGTGTGTGTGTGTGTGTGTGTGTGTGTGTAGGGAGAGCCAGCTTTCCCATCCTGGAGGAAGACCCCTCACCCTGAGCCCCACATGGTGCCCACTCCACACTGGGACATACAGCAGATTGGCACAAACTGCGATACTGGCGGTCAGCAGCATGGCACCCCCTTCGATGTGGTAGTCGCTGTGCAGCAGGCGGATGAAGGCCAGGTACAGGAGGATGCCAGTGACCATCCAGAGGGAGACCACAGAGGCCAAAGCCCCCAGAGTCTCTGCAGGGGAAGACAAGCTGTCAGGGCCTTGCTCAGCACTGAGGCATCCTCTGGCAGAATTGAAGAAGCATTAAGTCATGCAGGAGCCTTACCTGAGCGGTGCCAGCCAAAGGTCATGGTGCGGGTTGCTGGCCGAGTAGAGAGCCAAAGAGAAAAGAGGCTACCCATCATACTGCCCACGTCTGCTAGCAAGTGGGCAGCATCAGTCATAATAGCCAGACTATGTGCCAAATACCCACCTGCAAGGGGGAAAAGTAGAGTCTGATACTCTAGGAAGTATGCAATATGTGAACATACGCATGCAATAAAAATGTGGCGACATACCAAAAAGAGAACTGTGGTTCTCAGGTGATAGGATTCCAAGTAGTTTTTCTAGTCTTTCCACGATAATATATATGATTTTCAGAAAACAGCATTCATAAACGACTAGTTCACACTGAGCCCTGGCCCATAAGCCTCATGCTGGCTTGCGCTGAATCCCCCCTCTTGGTGCTCTGTCCTTGCCACTCCCTCCCAGCCTTTCTTTTTCTCTGCCTTCCCACCCAAGAACCCTGGGTCTCTGTCTGGAGAGTGGCCTAGGAAGGTGTTGGGAGCATAGGGCTGGAGGGGCACTCCCCAACTTACCAACCACCTCCCCAGCCATGAAGATGAAGCACACGACACAGGCAGCAAATAGCTGCCTCCGGGCCTGCCGCCTCTCCGGGGAGAGGCCTGACTGTGGCATGGGGTCCTTATGGCAATGGTGGAAGGTCATCCCCTCAAGCTTGGGCTCCTCAGGGAGGGGCTCCGAGGGCTCTGTGAAGAGACTAAGGCAGGCAATATATTCAACCTGAGGCCTGTCCACAGGCTGATCTGCTCACTCTCAGGCTGACAGACACCATGCTGGCCTGAGAAGACTAGCCCATCTCTGCCCCTTCCCTAGGCCCAGTCATGCCTAAAGCCTTGTGAGCAGATGGGATTCAAATGAGTATTTCAGACTCACACACAGAGCCATGGAATTTCATTCCTGGAAAGTATCTCACAGCAGTATGGTTTGATAGTTTAACAAATGAATGAGAAGTAAGGCTCAGAAAGGGAAAGGACTGACAGGAGCCACATAGTTGGTGGGTGGTGGAGCTGAGACGACACACTGACCAAAATTTCTGTAATATAATAGGCACCTTGGGAATGAAAAATGAATAGATTCTCTTCCCGAACTTTGGAAGTTCTGGTGGAGTGGGTCAAATGTGGACTAGACACTATGATACACAGCAAAAGACAGATGCTGCTGTTAGAACAATTCTGGTGCTCTCAAATGAGTTCTAACAGGGAAATTGCAGAAACCAAATGAAAAGAGCCATGAAGAATGGGAAGGATTTTGACAGACAGTTGAAGGTGCCAAAGGGAACACAAAAGGAAGTTGGTGCAAGAGTATGAAGCATACCATCCTGGCCTTAGTGCGCCTCTGTTCCAGCTCTGCTCCAATACCCAGCTCCCAGGCCTTGTCTCTTCCCTCTCAAGACAGGAAATCCAAATGCTATCCTTTAAAAAGGGAGTGGTACCTGGCATGGTGACTCACATCTGTAGTCCCAGCACTTGGGAAATTGAGGCAGGAGGATTAGGAGTTCAAGGCTAGCTTTGACTACATAGGGAGACCCTATCTCATAGAAACAAAAACAATACAACACATAATACCTGAGGAGAGTGAGCAGGGTTGTCACAGAAGAGGGGGTCCTGCCTATGATGGTTGGGGATGATAGTGGCAGAAGCACTGGATTTAGGGTCCACCCCATGTTACCTGAGCCCCAATCTGCTCATACTACCTGGTAGAGGTCACATTAACATCTTAGAGCCATAAGCTTCTCTTGACAAATTGGTGTGCGATTCACCTAGGGATGCCCCTGGGTTCAAAGCTGAGTTTTGGATCCATTCTAGCCCAGTTCTCACTGCCCCCACTGTTTATCCTGAACCCCAGCAAGGACAGACTCTCCCACAGAATAAAGGACCTCAACTCAGAAATACAGTCCTGAAATACTCATGGGGAGTAACAAGAATACTCTCGAGGGGAAAAGATGGCTCCAGATAGATCACAGCAGTAAAGTGGGGAGGGGTGCTGGGACCCTTCTGGCTAAAGAGAGCTCTGCTAACTGGATAAGTTGAGGTTGGGGGGGTATGCAGTGAATATAGGGAAACTCAAGTGCTGGAAAGTAGATACATTTCTTGAATGAAAAGCACCTTCCAGGACTAAGAATCTGAGTATACACGATTCTAGGTGCAGAAGAGACAGGAAGATGATGGTGGCTCCAGAGCCCATCCTTGTTTATTACCTGAGGTGTGCTGGGCAGTGTACAACACAAGGAAGCCCAGTCTAGTGGGAAAGACTACCTGGGAGAGGCTATGTGGGGAGGGTCTACACAAATCACTTTGGAGCACAGCGTAGGGAGTGGCCAACTCTAATGGGGGTGAGGAGGATGTCGTAGGAATTATGAGCTGTAGAAGGGTGCACCAGACACTTGGAATGACATCAAGATTTGAAGCTTGAGTATTTAGCGGGGTGCTAGGTGAAGAAGGGCTGAGGAAAATGATGAGCTCAAGGGAAGATAAAGGGAGATGCACTGACAGCCAAATATCTTCATGTTGAAACAACCTTGTTGACAGTGGGGGAAAGAAGAGGTAGAAGACTCTAGAACCGATCTATATAGTCAGAGACTCGGCCAGGCACAGTATCAGAGGAGGGGCAGGTAAATAGGCAGAGCCTCTCAGAAAATCCTGCAGGATTTGGTGACTAATGGTCATGTGAGGATAGAAATGGCCTGGGAGATGAAGATGCAGCTTGAAGAGCAAACAAGCTGGGTGGTCCTAGGACAGTGGGCAAGACACCTTTCTTGGGCTTGTAAGGTCCTACACAACCAGGCATCAATGTAGCCACCCATCAACAGGCTGCCTCCTTTTGTTTGGCATGAAGTGGGCACTAAATAGGCCGCTCTGCTGGGGTGTGGAGGTGTGGCTATTCTGTCTATGGGTCCGGAAAGGCTGTTTCCTTCCCTGGCTCTCCAAGACCCCTACAAACAAAAAAACGATATGGAGTAAGGGGAAGAGAGTGAGGCCAGGGGTACCTTGGGTAAGTGAGAGGGCTCATGCCAAGTCAAAAGGTTAGTCAAAGAGATGCCAGGGCCACAGCTGGAGCCCCACAGCTGCCCACCTCCGCAGTCCCCTGCAGGAACGAGGCTTCCCCTCCCTTCTGCTCTCCCGCTCCCCCACCCACTCAGGTTTAAAGCCCATCCCCCCCCCAAAAGAGCTGTAAATATACAGAGACCACCTCAGAGACAAAAGGACCCAGAGAGAAACAGAACCACTGAGAGAGATGCGTAAGAGAAAAGGCCGGAGACTGTCAAATTCCGGAGACAAACGGACGGTTGGCCAACAGACAAAATGGCCAGCGGAGGTGGCCAGGGAGGGCCTGTGGCAGTGGCCGCTCCGAGGGGCCGGGGCCGGGCGCGGGAGGCCTGCAGGGTGCGGAGGAGGTTCCACCGCCCCCGGCCCGCTGTCCCCGCCGCTCGCGCGCGCCTCATTTCACACCTCGCCGCCCCCGGCCCCGTCTGTGCGGAGCCGGGAATACCCCCCGCCGCCCAGCCCGCACCTGCTCCTTCCTCGCCACCCCCTCGCTTGCCTGCGGCCGCCAGCCGAGCCCAAGCCCCTGGGCGGGTGGCCACAACTGGCTTTGGCTGGATGGGGCGCCCCGAGTCCAGCGGGCGGAGCGAACGGTCTGGGGCCTAAGGCTGGCCCCCAGGCCGGGGAGGCCAGGTGCACCCGCAGCCAGCGCCCGGGATATGCGGACTCCAGAGTCCAACAGAGCGATAGCCGCGGCAGGGGCGGCGGAGGGGTCAGAAGGCTTGGGACGCGGACCCGGGACTTGCTTCGCCCCGCGTGGGGGAAATGGGGTGGCGGGGCACGGGCGAGGCGGTGGCGGGTGGCGGGGGCGGGCGCCGCGAAACCGAGGGGTCCGCGGGACGCCCCGGGAGACAACGAAACGGACCGATGGCAGCAGGCTGGCACCCCGGAGCCGAGGGCCAGCCCAGATCTGTCCTACCTCTTCAAACGGAAGCCGCCGCCCGCGCCGCTGCGCTCCCGGGGGCTCACCAAGAGGGTGGTCTCCGAGCCTCCGGTGGCTGGAGAGGGCTCCATGTCCCTGCCGCTCCGACCGTCTAGGCCGCACCGAGGGGAGAGGCGGGGCCGGCCCCGCGCCCAGTCCTAGCTGCCCGCGGACCCCGGGACTCCCCGCCAGGCCGCGGGGCCACCACAGTGAAGGCAACTGCGACGACTGTGGCGCGCCGAGTCCGAACTGCAGAGCCCGCGGCCGCAGGAGCCCCGCCCCGCGTGGGGCGAGCTACCCAAGCCCCGCCTCCAGGCTCCGGCTCCCAGGATTCTCCCCCAGGCCTAAGACCCGCTTCAGGGTCCGGTCTCCATAGCCAAAGCCCATCTCCCCGCGCCGAAGTGCGGTGGGGACCTCCGGAGTGCCCTGCCACTGGGGTTCCAGACAACCACCGTCTCCACAGCCCCGCCCCCTCGGCGAACTAGCCCCGCCCCGCCCCAAGCCCCGCCCACAGGTTCCCAGTCTAGCTCTTCACACCTAAGGACCCCTCCAGGGCCAACTTCACCAAAGGAGCACTGCCCTTTGCATGCCTGCATAGGGGTGTCCCCCGCCACCCAATCATTTTGTGGCCCTGGCTCCCACGCGGAGGCAGAAACAGGTGCTAAATCTATCTAGAGAGCAACAGAGACTCTGGATTGAGCAGTGACACATTCCCAAACAACTCTAAGGACTCCAGCCAGAAACCCCACTGTGGAGGCTCTGGGGTAGGAATTCATGAGCAAAATCTGCTGCCAAGCACTGTGCCGCTAATTATCATTTATTTTTATGCAAGGACCTTAAATAACAAAAGCATTCCTCTGTCCTTCAACCCGTATATTGTCCCTACTTTCCAGAGGAGCAAACCGAGTCCCAGAAATACACAAGGTCATGCAGCCTGTGGATAAACCCTTCATCTTTTTTCCCACCGGGGTCAGATTATGGCGCCGGGCTAGCAACTGAAGACCGTGGGACACCTCTCACTGAGAGGTGGGGCAACAGGCGGGGTGTTGTCCCCTCTCTGGGGTCACAAGTCACTGTTATGGAGGTAGGCTGCGTTCTGCTTGCCAGCAAGTGACCCCTTCCTTGCCTGCACACGGCAGCACCGGCTGGTATGCTCATTTGGGGAAACTAAAGCCCACACGAAGGAGTGACTTAGAGCAGTCGGTGGCCAAGGCTGGAGTGGAAACTTCAACTGCTCAGTGGTTTACTCCTCTCACCTGCCGCCACCGTAGAATGAAAAGGGGTTAGGAATTGGATTGTGCATTCTAAGCTGTGACAGTCCGTGAAGGGGACGGTCGCAGGAGAGAGAGCAGAGATGGAGAAGCGGGGAGGGTGGGAGTGGCTAGAGAACCCGGGCAAGAAACACATCAACTTCATCCTTCGGAACACACCCGGCATTTTGAACGTAAAGAGCTAGGGAGTGATGCCTCCCCTCGACATGATTATTCTGAATAATGAGACCGTGTGTATATTTCCAAACACCAAATCAGACCAAACAAAAATGAAAAATTAAAAAAAACCTTGAGCCTGCCAGATGGAGTGGCTGGAAGTGAGGGGGTTAACCCAGGAGAGCTTCGCGGAGGAGGTGAGGCTTAAAACGGTTAGGGAAGCTGGGCGGCGGGCTGGCTGTTCTGGAGGAGGAAGAGTGCAGCTCAGCTGGAGCCAAGGTTTGCGGGCGGTGGGTGCATAGGGATGGTACTGTTCCGTGAAACGGAGCCGAGAACGAGAAGCAGTGTCTGCGTGCCCTTGGCGCCCGGCCCCCGAGGGGACTTCTCCCTCCAGCCTCCCTAGGAGCTTGAGGGCTCCTCTCTCCGTTCGCGCACGGAAAGACAAGCCGAGGTGGTGAGAAGGGACGCCACCAGCCAAGGTCACCTTGCTGGCCCCGTCAGAGCCAGGGTGGAAACCATGCCCTGTCCAGCTAAACCAGAGCCCCAGGCTCGTGTGCCGGGAGCCGTCGGTGTTCTCAGCTTGCAGCCTGGCCTGGGGCTCCCCTTGATTCCAAGCTCGCTGGAGAAGGGGGCCGAGGCACTCCAGGGCTCTGGGCGCCAGCCTGGCCCCCGGCTAGGCGAGTTCCAGGATGGGGACCAGCTCCTTGGCCGCCTCGGCCGATGACGGGGGTACGTGACTACGATGGCTTCCTCGGGGATTTCCCTCCCGCAGCGCGCAGAGAGCATCCCCGACTGCCCAGGAGGGGGCGCAGACACTGGCATGTGCCCGACCCACCACCCGGTAGCTGGCGGGGAGGGAAAGGAACGTCGGAGCCTGTTAAGATGGCAGAGCCTCATTGGATGTCTGGCTGCTGAGCGTGCGGCCCCCAGAAGTCCAGGGCGCCGGCAGTGGGAAGAGCAACAGTTGCCTTCGCTTGGGAATCTATGTAAGAACAACTTAGCAGCAAAACGAGTACTTGTGTCTGTTTCTCCAGAAGCCACCAAGGGGCCTGTGGGAATTTTACATGGTCCTTAGGAATGACAGACCCGAGGGAATCATGCTGCAAGTGGAGAGGAGCTGGGAATGTTCCGAGAGGGCGGGCGCTGGAACGCCGGCCTAGGACTGGTGCCCGGTATGAACTATGGTCTTGAAAGCACTATTCATTCAACGTTTACACACTTACCTCCCCCACAGCCACCCTTCCTGCCAGCCTAGCTGGGGATTGGTGATGAACAAATTAGAAACAGTCTTTCCTCTCCTTACGATTTCAGGAGATTTCTCCCCTACTGTCCTGTGCTAAATCAGTGCTGTACTGATTTATCCTTGTGCCTGGACTACCTGCTCTGCTCTGCCTCTATCAGTTTTCCTAGGTTTGACAGAGGCAAGAAGGCCTGGCTGCCCCTGGAGGATAATTCTGGTCCAGCTTCCAAAGGGCCTCTGAAGAAGCCTCCATAAGAAGCTGTGGATGGACCCAGGTTAGAAGTCCATCCTGGACCAGCTCACACTGGGAGAGGTGGGCCCTGAGGTCAGGATTTAAACTGGGCTACAGAGCACAAGCAAAATCTGGAATCTGAGCATGCTGTGTCCCCAGTGCCCCACTAGTGCCCACCACATAGTATTCAATTAAGCCATTCCAGACAGGTGGAGCTGTTTGGCAGATGGAGCAGGGCACAGGAGGCAGGGGTTTAGTTGGTAATAAAGAAGATGACAAGGTATAGAGTTACACACCTCTTTGCACACTACTTTTTCTTTTTGAGCATTTACCACCCTGTACTGCAACTGTTATTTGATGATTGTTTCTTCACTTGGCTTCCAGGGTATCATTCATTGGTTTTCTCCTACATCACTGACTGCTTATTTTCAATCTCCTTGCTGCTTCCTCCTCCTCTTCTCAATCTTTTGAAGCTGCATTGGCCCAGGATTTGCCCCTGGTCACTGATTCTCTTATGTTTCTGTGTGTCAGTCCTAAGCCTTTAAATACTGGATGCTGGGTTGTGGGAAACCATTGCCATTCTATTTTTAAGTTTGAAATTTATTTCAAAAGCAAATGACATCTATGGAGGACTATTCCCACCAAACTCTCTGACCCAATGCCAGCTTGATGCTCTCTCCTGAGTGTCTATGAGAGCTTTGTAAAGTTCAAAACTGAGGAAGCTAGAGAAGTGGCTCAGTGGTTAAGGGCACAGACTGCTCTTGCAGAGGACCCAGGTTCCATTCCCAGCACCCACATGGGGGCTAACAACCATCCTTAACTCCAGTTCCAGGGAATCTGACGCCCACTTCTGACCTCCATGAGCATGGCACAATGTGGGTGCACCTACCTACATGTAGGCAATACACTCATACATAAATGAAAAGAAAAAATATTTTTTTAAAACCTGAGCTCCTGATCACCACCCAACCCTGACTCTCCTCCCACGTCCCGGCTCCCATGTCAGAACATGACAACGCCATCCTCCATTTGCTCAGGCCAGAAACCTTAGCGTCATCCTTGACTCTTCTATTTTTCACCCACATCCAATCTGTCAGCAAATCCTGCTCCCACCCTCCAAACATGAACTACCATCTGTCCTCTGGATGGTTGCAGTCACCTCCAGGGTGACCTCCCTGTTTCTGCTCTTCTTCCCAATCCAGTAGTATGGTAACACAGGTCAGATTCTGTCACTTTCTCTCATATATAGAGAACTAGCCTGCAAGCCTCACACTGACCTCATTTTATACTCCTGCTCCACTCTCCAGCTTCTCTAGCCTCACTGTGAGTCCTACAACACTACAATATGTCAGTGTGCCCCTGCCACTGGGCCTTTGCATTTGCTCATATCTCTAATTGTGGTCGACTCTGTCAGGTGCACCTATAATCTATCTCCTAGCCTTTTAAATTTGCATGTTAGCAAGCACTCTATCACTACTGAGCTATAAACCCAGCTAAACACCCTGTGTCTTTTGTTTTAGCTTGTTTAGTATTTTTACCCATCCGAATGTAAACTCCAAGCCAGGTGTGGTGGCATGTGCTTATAATTTCAGCACTCAGGAGGCTGATGCAGGAGGATTGAGAGTTTGAGTCCAGCATAGAGCATAGAGTGAATTCCAGGTCGTCCTGGTCTGCACATAGAGATCCTGTCTCAGTTAAAAATGAAGTAGCGGGGGCATGGTGGTGCATGCCTTTAATCCCAGTACTCAGAAGAAAAAGGCAGGAGGATCTCTGAGACTGAGGCCAGCCTGTTCTACACAGCAAATTCTAGACTAGCTGAAGCTACAGGAAGACCCTGTCTCAAATAAAATAAGTAAGTCAATTTTAGTAACTTTGGCCACTTATCAGTGTATCAAAGCTACTAAGCATATAGATGCTTAGTAAATATTTGAACAGTTAATTGATTAAGGAAAAAGATGTTTCAGGGAGTTGGGGGACAAATGAGCACAATGAACAGAGCTCAGGAATAACAGCAATATTGTGAGACCCATAAGATTACTGTAGAAAGTTTACTTTAGGGCAGGAGGAGACAGTGAGTTTGAGAGGTAGGCTGGTCTTAAATTACAGAATTCATTGCCAAATTGAAGAGCACTGGTAGGGGGATTAAAAAAAAAAGGCAGGGTTCCAGGGGCCTGGAGAAAGATGCAGAAAGGGGCTGGGGATGGAAAGGCACCAGGAACTACTTGCAAATCTTGGAGGAAAGACCTGGATGTTTCCCTTCTTTCTAGAGATGAGATAAAAAGCAATTTCTTTCTTTATGAAATTTTCAGGAGACAGGACAGAATCATTATAATAATTATAGTAATAATTATGCTAAAAACCCCAAAAGAAAAAAAATACACCTGGTTGTAGTGGTGCATGCCTGTTATCCCAGTATATAGAAGTAGAGGCAGGAGTATCAGGAGCTCAAGGTCATCCTCAGCTATGTAGGGAGTTCCTAGGCTACATAAGACCCTGTTTCAAAAAGCAACAAAAAATCTTTACAAAGCATACTTG